AAGGGGTTTTGTTATGCATATGAGATTTTAATTTCTTATTTGAAGAAAATTTTTGCAAAAATTTTTTGGCAAAAATGTTTCAGGAAACTAAAAGACTGGTTCCGGAACTGTGCAGAATCGATTGTTAAATTGATGCATACCGTGGAATGGGTCACACCACTGGGTTTACCAGTCTATCAGCCATATTTGGAAACAAAAATGGAAGATAACAAAGTTTATCGGATGCCTAAACAGATCAAACAGGTCGGATGTTGTTTCATAAAAACCCGAAATGATGGACCAAGGCAGTCCATGCACAGACCTTGATGTATTCTGTGTTTCATCCCTTAGCTGTAAACAGATGGAAAAGTACATATGAGTATCGAAAGTGTGGCAGGAAATCTAAAAGAAAAGCGATTATGAGTTCGAGAAAGACGAAAAAGTGGGAGAAAGCCAAAAGCCTAGTTTTTTGGTGTATACTGTCATGGATATTTGTGGTCACCGTGTACAGGTCAACCTAAAAAGCCAATGAAAATGTTCCTTATATAATAACGAACGAAACGCGAGTGATAATTTTTCGGTAGATTAGACGAGTGTTAGGTGGACCAAAACGTTTCTTACCTAATTTATTACTTCTTTTTACATCTTTCCCTTTTTTTTTACTCTCTTTTTTGACCCTTTCTATCATCCATTTCTACATTTTTCGTCGAAATTTTCAATTAACCTTAAATTAGGTCCCTACATGGTCTTTGACTGCAGCAGCGGAAGACAGTGAAGAGTGCCAGTGCTTTTTTTTTTACTAACAAAAGCTTCACTTCAATGGAACAAGCCGAGCCGTCGCACCAATTATCGAGCGGAGGGAGAACGTTAGTCGTATCGAGGTGGCCACTTGGTAGCGCTAGTCGTATCAAGGCGAGACGCGCGCTAGGTTCGAGACCCCGACCTCGCAGGGTTTTCGGAATGGGTTTATAAAGGGTAAATTAATGGAGAGGAAAGGAAGGCAAAGGGAATTAGCAAGTGGAGGCGATAGGTAAAGTAAAATGTGGAATTATTTAGAATATAGTAGAAGTATTAGGAATTAGTGGGTGGAGTGAAGTAACTCGAATGTTTAGGATTACACAGGTCTAATTATCCATTTCCATTGAGATTATACCGTGAAAAAGTGTTCAGGTGAATGCATTCCCACCAAATTTTGTGCATTCCTTGGATTCTACACATATGATGTTGACCGCACTGTTCTGTCGTCGGCTGGGTATTACATTTGCTGCAGTACACGATTGCTACTGGACACATGCCTGTGATGTTGAGGTGATGAACGAGATTTGCCGCGAGCAATTCGTGCAACTTCACAGTGAACCACTTGTGAAACAGTGCGGAGAGGTAGGAAAATTCATTTAGATAAACATTCATTCGTGTTATCATTGGTAGAAGCCACTGGTCACCTAGTGGTCAGCTTGATGCCGATGACCGTTTGGCGTTTTTCTTTTTATTCTTTTTTCGTTTTTAAAAAAAAAATCGAAAATTCAGAGATTTTGGAAATTCGAAAATTTCAAATTCGGAAGTTTCGAAAACTTGAAAATCTCGGAAGTTCGATAATAATTGATGATATCACAAAGAAAAAGAAAAGAGAAACTTATTATTGCGATGTTTTGGCTACGAAGTGTTAAAGCATCGGAAAATTTAATGCTATAAGGTTTGACGAATCAAGATCTAGGTGTGTATTGTGATAATCTTGGTATCAGAACCAGACGGATGAGAGAAGGGCAACGGGCATGTGCTGAGATACGTTCCATGCGCGATCACGTTCCGACGGCGTACAAGAACTCAAGAATTATGGAATAATTTGAAAAGAAGAATGTAAAATTAATCCGAGCAAAATAGGATAAAAAAAGGACAGATGTTTGATATGGCCAGACATTTCGACGAGAAGTAAAAAGGCAAAACTAAAATTCAGTACTTACTCTTTCGCTGACAGTTTATTACTTGGTTTTCAAATGCTTTTTGACAAATCGTCATACTGACGAGGTCCAGTCGCAGTGTTGAGTTAAGACGTATATGACTTAATGGACCGAAACGTCTTCCTTTCTTCACTCCTTTTTTCATACTGGTCTTTCATGCTTTAATCTATCACGCCTTCGCCATTTAGGCTTCCAGGGTCGACCCGGATGCTGCAGTTGGTTAACTTCTTTCAGGTACCAAGATCTTTGTGCTCTAAAAACGATTTTTTTTTTCAGTTTTTCCGTCAAAAGTATCTGCCAATTTGGTTGAAAGCTGTAATGGAACCGGAAGATTACCAGCAACTTCGAAGGACTTTCATAC